GTTTTCTTTAATTGTTTGTTTGTTTAAATACAGGGGGCCCCATCAGTGAATTGCCTGGGCACAAATCTCCTGTTGACTTTAATGCGAGATATGTGTGTTCAACTGATGGAATAATCAGGCTGAAGTATTGCCTGGCAACTTGAGGGAGAAATTATCTGGGAGAAAGAGAGGAAGGGTAGAGAGGAAACAAAATAAATGAGGAAGAAAGGAATGGTGTGTGCATATAGTGGCAATGGGAAAATTACAGAAGATCTAGACACTGACATTCATCTGTAACAGCATCAGTTTTTAATCTCATTTGGGCAGTTGTGTGTGTAGTATTGTTAGGGCACAGTTGTTACACATTCAGCTACAGTGGTGGCTGGCAGTGGGTGAAGTAATCTATCTGTAACCTCTGAAAAATCTGAGGCTCTTTCAGGATGAAAGCAATTGTCACAGCATTTAAAATCATTCAAATTAATAAGAAACATCTATATCTACACATACAATTTACAATATTGAATTAAAAATTACCAGGATTTACAAAATATTAATAGGCATGCTTCAGGGCCTTTTGAAAATCAAAGCTTCACTTAAGGCAGCAGAACTGCTCAGCTTCATGGTTCTTACACATTTAAGAACAAGGAAAGTGACACCAAAAATACATTACTGGAATAGTAAGCAGTAAGTTAGCACTCAAGAAAGAGATCTTGGAGTCATTGTACTGATCTTCTCCGATAGTTCTCCGAAAACATCCACTCAATGTGCAGCAGCAGTCCAAAAAGCAAACAGAATGTTGGGCATCATAAAGAAAGGGATAGATAATAAGATAGAAAATATCATATTGCCTCTATATAAATCTGTGGTATGCCCATATCTTGAATACTGCATGCAGATGTCGCCCATCTCAAAAAAGATATATTGGAATTGGAAAAGGTTCTGAAAAGGACAACAAAAATGATTAGGAGTATGGAACAGCTGACATATGAGGAGAGATTAATAAGACTGGGACTTTTCACCTTGGAAAAAAGACAACTAAAGGGGAATATGATAGGGGATATGAACAGGGATATGAAATCATGACTGGTGTGGAGAAAATAAATAAGGAAGTGTTATTTACTCCTTCTCATAACACAAGAACTAGGGGGGGTCACCAAATGAAATTAATAGGCAGCAGATTTAAAACAAACAAAATGAAGTATTTTTTCACACAATGCAAAGTCAACCTGTGGAACTCCTTGCCAGAGGATGTTGTGAAGGCCAAGACCATAACAGGGTTCAAAAGAGAACTAGATAAGTTCATGGAGGATAGGTCCATCAATGGCTATTAGCCAGGATGGACAGGGATGATGTCCCTAGCCTCTGTTTGCCAAAAGGTGGGAATGGATAACAGGGGCTGGATCACTTGATGATTACCTGTTCTGTTCATTCCCTCTGGGGCACCTGGCATTGTCCACTAGCCCAGTATCCTGTCTTCTGATAGGTGGACCTTTCGTCTGACCCAGTATAGCCATTCTTATGTTCATAAAAGAAAGAGAGAACAGGGCAAAAGGAACAACTTCAGGAGGAATGACTTGTTTTGCACAATGGTGTAATAAAAATGAAATACAGGCAGGAACTGAAAGTCAAACGTACTGTAAGCTACCAAAGAGAATCTTAAATCAGAGAAGATAACATATCGAAATTGTGATGGGGTGATAAGGAGAGCAAGGTGACTTCCTTCTGAAGTCAGTGAATATACTGTCCTTATCAATGGAAACAGGTTGTATCCTTAACATTCTCCAAGAGACGCAGACTTAGAACCACTGACACATTCCATAGTGCAACATTAGTGGATGCCAGGAGGCCTATGCAGTTCATACAGCAATACAATTAAACTAATAATAAAAATAATACAGCTCGTCTGTGGTAACAGTCTTCAATAATTTGTAAACTACAGGCAAACTCAACACCTCACCCTAGAGATATTTAGAAATATTTTCCCCCTTTTACTTTTATTATTTTGATGATTTTTAACACATAAGTACTCTGCACATTATAGACATTTAACTACTTAAGCGCTCTCCTTGAATTCTGAACACATTATTGTGCTGATTGCTGGCGTACACTTGAGGGACCAGACCATTGTTGGTCTCTTTTTATTTCAGTTTGCTTCAGTTTTCTCTCTCATTCTTGGCTTCTTAGTTCAAACACAGAAGCCCTGTTTACATTCTAGTACTAAACCATCACTGAGAATAGTTGTCAGCAACACGTCCTCTTGAACCAGAGCTGAAAGTGATTTAAGCTGTTTGCCATTTTCACCAACATTGTTTGATGCTTCCTATTCCCATTTTACAATGGTTCAAGGGAGACCCTTGACGACACCTTTTTTTTTTTTCAACAGGTTGATTTCCTAGCATAGGAAAGTCTTAAGGGACTACCAAACCTAAAGCTGACCAAAATTGTTTCAAAGTACTGGATCCGGGGAAGGAAATCCAATTATGAAACAGCTAAATAGCACTGTAAAGACAAAACAGGTAATCAGCTCTAGCAAGGTACTATCCAGCAGTTCATATATTTTCAGCTTTCTGAATCACTCAGGAGCTGGAAGACTGAGGGTGGTGGCTCATGCTGGTCAGTGATGTGCTCCCAATAATTTTTCCTGTTAGCCTGTGGTGAGTGTGCTCCAGGAGGAAGCGAGAGACTAGAGATTCTACCCATTTGTTTTCTCATTTAAATAATAAAATAAAATACAATAAAATATTACTAAAATGTAGGGCTGTCAATTAATCACAGTTAACTCACAGGATTAACTCAAAAAATTAATAAAAAATTAATCGCGATTTATTGCACTTTTAATCACACAATTACACAATAGATTACCAATTGAAATGTATTAAATATTTGTGGATTTTTTTCTACATTTTCAAATATATTGATTTCAATTACAACATAGAACACTGCTCACTTTATATTATTTTTATTATAATTTTTACAGTGCAAATGTTTGTATACAAAAGGAATAGTATTTTTCAATTCACTTCATACAAGTACTGTAGTGCAATCTCTTTATTGTGAAAGTGCAACTTACAAATGTAGATTTTTTTGTTACATAACTGCACTCAAAAAACCAAAACAATGTAAAACTTTAAAGCCTACAAGTCCACTCAGTCCTACTTCTTGTTCAGCCAATCGCTAAGACAAACAAGTTTGTTTACATTTATGGGACGTAATGCTGCCCACTTCTTATTTACAATGTCACCTGAAAGTGAGAACAGGCATTTGCATAGCACTTTTGTAGCCCGTATTACAAGGTATTTACATGCCAGATATGCTAAACATTCATATGCCCCTTCCAGCTTTGGCCACCATTCCAGAGGACATGCTTCCATGCTGATGCTTGTTAAAAAAATATGTTAATTAAATTTGTGACTGAACTCTCTGGTGGAGAATTATATGTCTCCTGCTCTGTTTTACCTGCATTCTGCCATATATTTCATGTTATAGCAGTCTCAGATGATGACCCAGCACATGTTGTTGGTTTTAAGAACACTTTCACTGCAGATTTGACAAAACGCAAAAAAAATACAAATGTGAGATTTCTAAAGATAGCTACAGCACTCCACCCAAGGTTTAAAAATCTGACGTGACTTCCAAAATCTGACAGTTTTGGATCATTATCAAGCAGAATCCGTCATTGGCATGGACACATGTTCTCTGGAATGGTGGTTGAAAAATGAAGGGACATATGACTGTTTACCTCATCTGGCATGTAAATATCTTGCAACACCGGCTACAACAGTGCCATGAGAACACCGGTTGTCACTTTCAGGTGTCGTAAACAAGAAGCAGGCAGCATTATCTCCTGCAAATGTAAAGTTTGTCTGAGCAATTGGCTGACCAAGAAGTAGGACTGAGTGGACGTGTAGGCTCTAAAGTTTTACATAGTTTTATTTTTGAGTGCAGGTGGGCTTTTTTTACATAATTCTACATTTGTAAGTTCAACTTTCATGATAAAGAGATTGCACAACATTATTTGTATTAGATGAATTGAAAAATACTATTACTTTTGTTTTTTACTGTGAAAATATTTGTAATAAAAATAATATAAAGTGAGCGCTGTACACTTTGTATTCTGTGTGGTAATTGAAATCAATATATTTGAAAATGTAGAAAACATCCAAAGTATTTAAATAACTTGCATTCTATTATTCTTTAATCGTGCAATTAATTGTGATTTTTTTAATCACTCAATTAATCGCGATTATTTTTTTTAATCGCTTGACAGCCCTACTAAAAAGCTTCAGTAGAACCATAACTAAGGAAGAAAGCAGAGACGCTTGGCAAATTAACTCACACTAAGAGCATTTCCAGGAAATGTTTATCTTTGTTTCTGAAAAATACAAGTAGTGTTTTGAAAGAACAGCAGTGTTCAAATAGGATAAGTGAAATGGGGAGACCATGTGGGTTGATCAGAGGGGCACCTTCCACCATAAGTTTTTGGTGTCATCAGTTCTATCTCAAAAAGCAAAAATCTTGCACTTCAGCAGCATTTTTGACCTCCAAGAATAAGTCAACCTAGCAATAGATAGAATCCTCGATATGCTGAGACCACTCCTTATCATGCTGACCAATAATATCTCATTGTTTCCTTGTACTCCCCTGTCTGTCTGTATCCATCTCTTGTCTCTTCTCTCATAGTTAGATTGGAGGCTCTCTGAGACAGGGACCATCTTTTTGTTCTATGTTTGTACAGCACCTACCACAACTGTGTCCTTGTCCGTGCCTGGGACTCTATGCACTATGATAATACAAATACTATTTGATCACCTTGATAGATTAGTCCTTCAGCCCTCGTATAGATTATGCCGATCACAACACGCCTCCAATTCTTCTCTTATCCTGGCCTTCCTTCTCTATGTCTTTTGATGATAAAATCTTCCCATCTCTTTGGAGGTCGGCTGAGGGGTCATTTCAGTTCCTTTGGGTACCACTCGGCAACAGACCCCTGCAGCCCATCGATTGTCAGTGAGCCTCACGATATGCCCAGCCCATCGCATTTTACTATGTCTGCTCTCAACAATGACATCCTGCACTCCACTCTGCTGTCAGATCATTCACTGGGGACTCAGTCGCGGATTCCCAGAATTCTTCTTTCCATTGCTCTCTCCGTGACAGACAGTTGTTGCTCCTCTGTCTTCATCAGCGCCCATGTTTCGCTGCTATACAACATTGCTGGCAGTACTGTTGAGTTGAAGAGGCTGGCGTGTGTTGCCTTGTTGATTTTTCCTTGGTGGACATCCTTGATAGAATTGAACCTGCTTTCTTTCTTTGTAAATACTACTACTGTTACTAATAATAACAATATATGTGTAAATATAATATAAGAATAAAGTGTATAAGTAGTACAAATTATTCCTTCCAATGTGCCTTTGTCAACAGTGAATTTTATCTGCTATCAAGTTACCCATCCCCCTAACTTTGTTAGATCCCGCTGAAATGCCTCACCAACTTCACTACACAAAATTCCCTTTAACTTTAAACAATGTTTAACAGCCTGGAAAGACTCCATTTGACTTCAAAGGACTTGGATCAGGCTCTAATGGAAGGACTGAGGAGAAATCCTATATTTGGATTTGTAAATCATAATAATATACATGCACAAAACATTTTCATTCACCTATGTGTATTAGTAACAATACCTTGCATTTCAATAGGCATCTTTAATCCAAGGCATGTTTAATCCAACACATTTGACTTTGTTAACAAACTAAGCATAACATCCCCGTGACATAGATAAGGAAGGGCAGCCACCTACATTCACCTCTACAAGGCCACCAAACATATCTGGAGTTTTCAGTCAAGTGCAGTCCCGTTTAGAGTTATCATGACATGAGTCAAAGAAGCGCTAGAAAATGGTCAAGGGATCGACAACTAAATTTTTGAAATACCCAAATAAATGTAAGAGTCTTTGTCTGATTTTTAGCAAGCTTTCCGGATAGACTACTATGGGATAAGATGTGGCATGCAAACTGCAGGAATAGCGATTTCTTTGGAAGACGTTACAAGGAGAGTACCCCTTTAAGTAGAAACATGTTTCCCTTTTAGACCGTTAGCCCCTTCTGTTAAAAGTATTTCCAAAAAGGAGTGAGACTGCGTATACCAGCACTGACACTTTTGCTGAGCAAAAAAAAAATATTTTCGGTTGTATTTTAAATGGCAATTTAAAAAGTTAACATGTGCTTCAATGCCATGTAATGCTTTCCTGTCAGAAAGGATCAGCTGACAGAATTAGATACAGAACCTATTTGTCCTTGTCACTGCCGTCCAAAGAAACACTCCCTGCGAGCAGAGAGCTTGACATGGCTGCAACCAACAGCTAAGACGAGCATATTATTCGGGTACTAGAGTTGCTTTCAGCCGGACTAATCCTAAAATCGTGACTGTATTCCAGTGGATTCATTCAGTACGGATTATTGATTAGGGGCCTGAGCCAAAGCTCCCCCTGAAATCAATGGATTTCTTTCCATTGACTTCAGTGGGGTTTGGATCAGGACCTATCTGCTGATGATGGAACTTGAATAGCTATTCCAAATGAGAAAAACAGCATGGCATAAATCAGCCAACATGATTTCTAGCAGAGAGGGAATTCTTGGGAGTGTTATTTCATTGCTTTTTAGATCTGTACTCTGAGCACAGTCTCAAACAATCTGCATATCAGGTGATTGTGCCATCCGGTTCTGATATTGTCAAGGAATTTGTTCTTATTGCTTGTATTATGTGAAAACAGTGCAAAGGCCTCAACTGATGCAAAATAAAGTTGTCCTCTGTTTAGACCACAATATCACATCAAGCCTGTGCTCTGGTCCCTCCATTGGCTCCCAGTTTCCTCCCACCGCCAGTTCAAGCGCTTGGTCCTGATCTTCAAAGCCATTAGCAGATGAGGTCCAGTTATACTAGAGATTGCAGGCCAGATTCTGTGGCCTGACTACACTCGCTTTGCCCTGTTTGCCCTCCACTCCCTGTTTGCCATGGTGCAAAGGGAGCAGAAAATTCCTGTATTTCCCCGGTGTTTATAAAGCTGACGTCACCACCTCCTATTCAAGCACCTCTCACTGTTGCAGGGATGTGAGGGGCAGAAGGGAAACCTGACACATATTAGAGCAGCTTACAACAAGGCTGGAGCCATTGCAGATGTGACTAGAGAATCAGGGATCTGTGCCTCAGTGTCCCTATCTGTAAAATGAGGATAATGATGATGATCTGCTTTGTGAAGCACTTTAAGATCTGCTGATGAAAAGTGCTATCGAAAAGCAAGGCACTATTATTATCTGATTCCATCCTTCGAGCATGCTACAAAACCTTCATCTTTGGTAAAGCTTTTCCACCAGGTGCTAGAACTAGTGGTGCTTTTCCACCAGGTGCTAGAACTCCAGTAGTTCTAGGAACAGAACAAAATCAGGAACAGAAGAAACCTCTCCATGATAAACTGAATCCATAAACAGTGGGAGTGGGACATAAACTATACAACGACCTGATTCACAGGGCATGGGAGAAGACACAGAAGCCAGCTGGCACCTGGTCCCACCAACCAATCTTTTTCTTCAAGAAAAGGTATTCTGATCCCCACCTCATGTTTTCCTTTACCACCTTCCTGCCTCTGCTCTTCTCCTTGGTTTTTCTTTCAATTATCGTTTTTCTCCAGTCTGTTTTTCTCTCAGCTGCTCCTTTTCCACCCCTCCCCACCTTCATACCAAATCCAAGTTCATACAATGGCCAGACTTGCACAGAGATTCTATCCCATCTCCTTGATCTTTGCCCACTGCTGACTCCCCTTTGCAGCAGGCACTGGAAGATGCAATACTGGGTTCACTGAGGCTGATCATACTATTGCACAGATCCAGTGAAGGGACATCACCAAGCCCTCCCATCAAGCATAAGCCCAGGACAGCTGTCCTGGCAGTCTACCAGCCTACTTCCCATCCCAGTCATTGAAACGTACTAAGGGTAGAGGTCACCAAAACTTTAGTCACAGAGGAAAACCACATAGGGGAAAAAATGACCTTAATTAACAAGTCCTTTCTTTTCAACTCAAGAAGTAGTGCTTCCTGAGTGGGGAAGAAGAGCCAGTTATTTTAAAGTTAAAGTAAAAGCACCACAATTTTTACTGTTGTGTGGGGAGGGATTAACAACAGCTCTCTACAACATTCCTGTAAAATTTGTGGTGCTTTTTTATTTTAAAAAGTGGTGTAATACAGTATGCAAGTGAAAAATCAAGCAGTTATTTATTTATCACTTTAATTACAGCACTTGTATTTTAAGCTTAGCAGGTGGAAGTCTTTGGCACACTTAAAAGATATTGTATGTCCATGTGCTAAAACATGTCTTTTAAGCCCTGAACTGATCCCATAATAACTTTTACAAGAATTGGACAACAGCAAGGAATTATTTAAAGAGCAATAAATGTGCACTACATCTACTGAATTAAAAGCACTTGCCTTCTTTGCCTGCATATAGAAATGACAAAAGACATGAATATCAAGGAATACTAATAGTCCTTACTCAGTCATTGAGCTTAATGGATGGTATGAGTAAGGGCTTCTGTCATGTACCTGTGACGGGTTCGGTCACAGAGATCCCGTTGGGACTGTCACCTGATGTGCTGAAATTACTGCTGAGCCTGTTTTCCCTGCCAGCTTGGGACTTCCAGAACCCTGTCTTGTTGAGCCAGACATGCTAGCCTGCTGCAACACAGACCCAGGGTCTGGACCACACCCCCAAAGCTACAGACTACCTGTCTCCAGCATCCAGACACCCAGTTCCCAATGGGATCCAAACCCCAGATAAATCCGTTTTATTCTGTATAAAGCTTATACAGGGTAAATTCATAAATTGTCCACCCTCTATAACACTAATAGAGAGATATGCACAGCTGTTTGCTCCCCCAGCTATTAGTCACTTACTCTGGGTTTATTAATAAACAAAAGTGATTTTATTAAGTATAAAAAGTAGGATTAAAGTGGTTTCAAGTAATAACAGACAGAACAAAGTAAGTCACCAAGCAAAATAAAGCAAAAACACACAAGTCAAAGCCTAATACATTAAGAAACTGATTACAGGTAATATCTCAGCCTCAGAGATGTTTCAATAAGCTTCTTTCACAGACTAGACTCCTTCTTAGTCTGGGCCCAATCCTTTCCCCGGTACAGTCCTTGTTAGTTCCAGTAGACATCTCAGGTGGTAAGCAGGGGTTCTCTCATGACTGGACCCATTTGTCCTGCTCCTCCCCCCTTTTATAGCTTTGGCACAAGGTGGGTATCTTTTGTCTGTGTTTGTCCCCACCCCACCTCATCAATGGAAAAGTACAATGATTAAGATGGTTTCCAGTATCATGTGACATGGTCACATGTCACTGTAAGACATGTGTCTCCATTCTTCCTGGGTTAGCCCACACATACACAGGAAGGCTTGCAGGTAAATAAACCATTTACAGTCAATGGGAGCCATCAAGATTATAAACCACTATTAATGGCCCACACTTTGTATAATTACAATAGGACCTCAGAGATATACTTCATATTTCTAGTTTCAGATACAAGAATGATACATGCATACAAATAGGAGGAATATATTCAGTAGTTTATAACCTTTGTTATGATACCTTACAAGAAACCTTTTGCATAAAGCATATTCCAGTTACGTCATATTCACACTGATAAGCATATTTTTATAAAACATACACAGTGCAACATCACAGTACCCCAATATTTATCGGTCTTTATTACATTATATATTAACCTTATGCTTTTCATATTTTTGGGTGCTGCTCCTGTAAAAGCAATGCTAGCTCAGGCTTTGTCTATGGTAGAATTGTTTTGCCAAAACTCTCCCCCAGTTGCTGCCACTGGCTCAGCTCCATCAAGGGTAGCAACAGCAGGACCATTAGTGTAGGCAAGGTACAGGCAGCCACCAGTGTTTTAATCACTATGCGAACAAAGTAGGGTCAGATAACCTGATGGTAAAAATGTCAGCAGTGGTGTGGAACACTCAACAGTAGCTTCTTTGCTGATGTAATGGTAACAAAATATTTGCAAAAAAGCTAGTACAGACATCCCCTAATAGCAAGGGGCACCTTGATGTAGACAGCAGTGAAATGAGGACAGACACATGCATGGAATTAAGTGGAAGGCTGCAACTTTTATTAAACTGTAGCACAAGGGAGCGGCACTATGCACCGATCACCCATACTCTCCTTTACCAGGCATTTAGTTAGTTCTAGTGTGGGGGGGTTACATGGCTCCTTACCATAAAACCCATAATGCAGGTGACTCTCTGCATCCTACCCCCAGGACGGCCGGAGGAAGATGACTAAGGGTATCATTCGGTAAGCACCACAGTAAAACCCACACTTTGTGCAGTCGCTGCAGATCCAAGGCATACTATCTCCAGAAATCCACCTGTGGGAAATGTGGGTACCCTGCTAAGTGCAAGAGAAAGTATAAATGGACTGCCAAGGCTAAAAGATGCAACACCACTGGTACTGATCGTATGAGGCACCCGAAAAATGTCTACCGTCGATTCAGGAATGGATTCCGTGAACGAACAAAACCTAAGCCCAAGAGAGCTGCCATTGCAGCATCCAGCTCATCTTAAGGATGCATCTGTTTGTTACAATAAATGGTCTAATCCGGAAAAAAACAGAACAAAAACCAAACCCTTAACTGCCCACTTCAAATTCCTTTTACATAACAATCTAACCCTTATTGCCTACACCATTTTAAGTGGCCTCCTACACCATTACCTCTTATGCTTAATAATCTGTCCCAACTTGTATTTAGCTCGGACACTGATTTCTTCTCCCAGACCTGAAGAAGAGTGTGTGTAGTTCGAAAGCTTGTACCTCTCATCGACAGAAGTCGGTCCAATAAAAGATATTACGTCACCTACTTGTTTCTCTCATGATTTATTAATGTGAATCTCCTACTTACATATTTATCCTGTGACTCTTTCCTGGTTAGGTTTAAGTGGTGCTGCATGCAGTTATACATTTTTATCACTAACAACTTATTTTATGGCACAGTAACTGCTGTTGATGACAATTTTTACTATTTTTAACAGTACTAGAAGGTAAACCAGAACATACATCAGTGCTTCCAAGCAAGACATTGCTTTTAGCTACTAGTATCTGGAAGTTTAACTGCCCTGACTGCATAACTATATAACACAACTACACTAGCATTGCACATCAAAAAGCACATTCTTTAGTCAGTCTTTTTTTGTTTGTCTAATAAAACATGATTTCTGGGTGTTCATGGCTAAATCTAGCAAGGTTGATTATTAGCATTTTATGAATCATGTATCTGAGTTGTTAGTGTGTTGTATCTGATACGAATCCTTGCATTATTCTGTCATTCACCTAGATGTCCATAGCTACATTGGCCTGTTGTATTACCTTTTTGCTGTATATCCAGTTTACCTAGATTTTCTGGCTGCCTCTTGTGGGTTCATTAACAGGTTCCTTCATGCAGTGACAAGTTGTAGAGAAGGACACATGTTCTATGTGATCTGGAGGGTTGACTCCTGCCTTAACACATTTTTTTTTAAATCTATCCCTAGGTTATTACATGTTGAATTAAAAATATATCAAAGCCCTGCTATTTTTTCACCTTTGTAAATACAGTCAATCATCAGTTTTAATGTGACATTAGAGATAGTGAAGCGAAATATTCATTATTTTTACTGCACTCCATGTAAGTAAGTGAATTTGATTATGATACAAAAGGAAAGAATTTGCAATCATTAACTATGATGCTTTTGGGAAGGAGATTAGATAGGAGACCAGCATCATTAGAGGTTTTTATCTAAAGATTTCCTGCCTGGGGTAATTGTTCAGAGGAGCAGCAGTAGTCAGAGGGGTTATGTCATTTATTTTCTTTACTATAGCTTTGGGCTAAGCATTGTTTTATGGATTCATTTGAAAAAAATTTCTTTTAATTTTAACAAAAAGTGAGTGTCTTTTTTGTTGAACTCATCCTTTCATGGAGTTGAAGGGATTCTTTTCTTTCTTTTTTCTTACAAAATACATCAGAAAACTGTGGTTAAATGATATTTCACTTTCAAGGTATTGTCATTAGTTAAATCCTTTGAGACTGTATTATATTGCTGGACAAGCCAACAGTTTCAATAAATGTATTAGCAATATTAGCAAGAAAATAGTTGAAAATATGTTCTTTTACTTGTACTATTCATCTATGAAACATGACTGTTGACCTATTGATAAGACTGTCAATACATCACTATAGTATAGCCTACACAGCAATCCTATAATTGATCACACACTCAAACACAACTTGCATCTGTTATCTAGTTTTTCCAGATGCTTTTCCTATGCTGTATGTTCTTGGATGTTATTTCTGTCTTGTATTCCCTTGTACGCTGCATTTCCAATAAAAGAAATGTAAAAAGAAAAAAGTATGCATTTTATATAAAATCTAAAACGATAAATGTTTTTCTGCTGGTCATGCTTTTCGTTTTTGGAATCTCATTCCTGAAAACAGAAAAGTGGGAGAACGTAAAAATATTTCCTTACAGGTGACTTTCAAGGATAAAAAATTGAAATTATTCTGGTGTTTGCTTCCTTGTTATTTAATAACAGAGGACTGAAAAGCTTTTTGGTATTTTCTTTTAACTTTCTGTTTACTTTTTACACTGTAAATTCAGGTTTTGTATACTCAAGAAATCTAATGACAATTAACTTAGGCTTGAATAGAGACTGGGAGTGGTTGACTTACTATACAAAGTAAAACTATTTCCCCTTGCTTATTCCTTCCCCTTCCCCCCCACCTCCACCACTATTCCTCAGATGTTCTTGTTAACTCCTGGAATTGTGCTGGAAATGAGCAACCTTGATTATCACTTCAAAAGGTTTTCTCTCCCCCCACCCCACTCTCCTTCTGGTAATAGCTCATCTTAAGTGATTACTCTCCTTACAATGTGTATGATAAACACCCATTTTTTCATGGTCTGTGTGTATATAAATATCCTCACTCTATTTTCCACTTTATGCATCCACTGAAGTGAGCTGTAGCTCACGAAAGCTTATGCTCAAATAAATTGGTTAGTCTGTAAGGTGCCACAAGTACTCCTTTTCTTTTTGCAAATACAGACTAACATGGCTGCTACTCTGAAACCTGAAAAACTAATGGGATTAAGACATCACAAGAAACAAGAAGCTGAAGTTAAGTAACAGAGAGAAAAAAGGATTTTTAATCAGACTGCTTAAAGTTGTTCAGGCTAGGTCTTCAGCAGGTTTAAATTACTGCATTAAATGTACCTGCATTGAGGTCAGTATATATATACCAATTTACATGATGTGAGGCTCTTGCTCTTTGATTTTTGTTTTTTGTTAACACCCTTTACACCAAAATGCCTAATAAACTCTTGGGAGAAAGGATTTCTTTGCTGAACATTCAACTCCCCCATTCCTTCAAGTAAGGTGTGAGAAAGCTCATAATACACATTTGAGACCGCTAAGAATTATTCCAGCAAAACCAGGGAAGATCAATTTTGATATTCCTGCTGTCTGGCTTTGTACTATGGATCTCAGATGCCTTATAGGAAGTGATTGGGTGCTCATGTAATAAGCAGGCTTGCTACCAATGTATTTAGTATACCTTTTTCCTTTTCTAAAAAGGGATAAGGGACTCCAGCAGGTGCACTTAATATCAGCAAATTTGACAGATGGTGTTGGCCTCCTCTTTTTTTCCAGTTGTGCAAATTCAATTCTAAAATGTAATTTTTTAAAAAAGTTGTCCCACAGAGATTTCCCTTCAAATCTCCTTTAACAAAAGTTTCTTTAAAGGTAGGTGAGGGTGGAAAAGATCAGAAAAAATAATTTTCTATTCCTCTCTTAGCAAGCATGGGTTGTGAGCAGTAAGTTTTCAAAATACACTTTCTTTCTTTCCTCTGAACTGAAACGATGATTTGCTTAGGCTGCTAGAATTACTATTGTGGCAAAGTGGCACAAGTACATCACACTGTCAATAGATTATAACTTTTAGGAATTTGGGAAGCACTTGCAATGGAAAAAATCTATAACTCTAGAAGGTGCTCTTATAACAATTATCTGAACATTTGACTGCCCTTTATCAATTACACTGAAAAGGGCTCAGTAATTAGAAGTTCAGAACATTTGACCAAGTTCTCTCTGTACTAACAGGATTATTTCTCCCTACTTGATAATTGGTCATACACAAGACAGATTTAAGTGTCTAATGTGAGGACTTTGTGATCCTTACCTGTACTTGCCGATTTTCTCTTTGCTCTTACTGTGTTAATACCTTGCAATATTGTCTGAGAATGTATCTATCTAGACTTCTATACCTCACTGTGATGTCTGAGCACATCACAGGACCATTAGTGTGTAAAAAATATATGTTTCTAATGAGGCATCAGGACCATTTTATCTAGGCTTCTATACCTGACTGATGTCTAAGCATGTCACAGGAACATTCTGTCCCCAAGTTCTCATACTCTTCCAGTAGCACATGGTTGCCCCTGCCATGGTGGAATCAGGTCTTTTGGTATTCTCTGGAAAGGATTCCTAAAGCCCTGCCATTCCCCACCCCAGTGCTGTCCCTAGGAGAAGGCTTATTTAAATCTCCATTTTGGGGTTAATCCCCAGCCAAAATTCAGAAATAGCTCAGGGAGACACTACTAGCCAGAAAATAATTAAGGGCAGGTAAGCCAAGGCATGTCACTTCAATAAGTCCACTACTTTCAGAGGGAAGAAGTGACAGAGTGCTGGGCTGATTGGAAACTAGACCAGAGGAACACTGGAGAAACAAGGAAACTTGAACTGTATTTTTTAAAAGTTCTTTGTCTATAAAGCTGCATGGACACAATGCGATTAGAGATTTTTGCAAAATTGGTGCCAATTTGAATAAACTCAGACCCTTGCAATAAAACCCTCTCTCAAGAATGTGACTTGTGTGTTCAAGCCTGAGTCTCTGGGGAATTTTTGACTCTTGTCATTCTGCCTCTTGACCTGTTACAAGCTCTCAGTCTTATTCTGGGCCTGCTTCTTGCTTGTATTTCTCAGTAGGGGTTGGCAGCGTGAAGCAAGGGGTAGTCTGCCAATGTCCCTCTCTGAAATCCTGCTCAGGAGTTGAAACAGCCTCACAGACATACATGAGAGAATCACAATGATCTCTGCACAATTCCCAGTTTAATCAGACAGAGATTTTGCGATGTTTCACTCACAACTGAACAAATGCTTTCCATCTCCCTCTATTTTTCAATGCGTGGTCCAGTTCCTCAACTCTTATATGAAGAATCTGGTAAATTTGACAAAATGCTGCCATATTTAAAGTTATTTAAATGCAAATAAAACATCAGAACAATTTTAAAAGACATGAAAAATATCTATTTGCCAACAGTCTGAAAAATGATTAAATGGAATTTTATAAAATTAAAAAAAAAATGAATGTGTCTGGCTGAGCACAAGCATAAGAAATTTCAGTCCAAAGACGATTGTTTTCAGAAAGTTATAAGTGCCTGAAAACAGAAAAGTAACACTGTGCAAGTGCTTCATCAGCCTCGATGGAACCTGGCTACTGCACAGCTGTAATAAATATTTAGTGACCACACATGGAAATAAATGGAAA